GAATCAATGAAGTTTAAGACTATCCTTCATTTGTAAGTAGATAGTAACTAAATTAATTATTAAACTCGAATTAAAATATGAAAAATATGAAAAATCAAAGTATCAAACACCAAAGCGTACTTAAGAGATACTTAGTGTTGAGACTGTGAAAAATGAAAGAGATGCTCCTGTGAGTGATTTGGTGCTTCAAATAGATAGTGGTGAAAAAGAGGTTGTAGAGTTGAATAGTGTGGTTGGGGCTCACTCTGTGCCTTCTGAAGAAGTGACTACAACTTCTACTCAAGCTCCTTCACCAAATGGGAGTCCTCCTTTGAGTTTTGCTCAGATAGTTAGGGGATCATCACCTTTAGGTGGGAGTCCTATTACTGCTGGGCAAATAGCTGAAAATGATAAGTCACCAGATTGTGGGAGCTTGCATTCGCAACACACTCAAGGAGAAAAGATGTAGTTGTCAAGGGCAAGGAGAATATGAAGCCTCCCGATAAAGGAAAGAAGATTTGGGTTGAATCTCCTTTGATTCCTCAACATCCAAAGAAGGGAGGGAAAAGTGGAAAGGGAAGAGGTAAAAGATGAGAATTATCACCTGGAATACTAGAGGATTTAAAGCAGATAGTAAATATACAGCTTTACTAAAGAAAATAAACAAATATAGTATAGATATTGTAGCTGTTCTTGAGCCTAGAATAAGAGCCTTTGAGACAGAAAAGTTGGCTGAGAAGCGATTTCCAGATTGGGAGACTAAGATCAAGCACAATGATTCTGGTTTGGGCAAAATATGGTTAGTTTGGAAGAAGGATATTCCACTTACTGTTCTGCATTCTTCTTATCAATTTGTTCAGTTTATGGTGGGGGGTACTCAACCTTTTTTTGGCACAGTAGTATATGCAGCCAATGATGAGGTTCCCAGGCAGTTCCTTTATAATGAATTGAGGAGGATTAAAGTTACTACTGCTCCCTGAATAGTGATGGGGGATTTAATGATATAAGACATCCCTCGGAAGCTTCGGATTCCCCTAGAGTCAATGCACCTATGACTTTTTTCAATGACTGGATTAATGATCTAGAACTAGAGGAACATCAGACCACTGGTCCTTGGTTTACCTGGCTGAACAAACAGGCAGCTAATCCTATTGCTAAGCGCTTAGATAAAGTGATAGTTAACTTTTCCTGGTTGGACCAAATTAAAGACAACAAGGTGCACTTTCAAGCCCCTGGAGTCTCGAATCATTGCCCCATGTATGTTGATACAACTGCTGCGTTGAAGTCGATTCCAAAACCTTTCAAGTTTTTTAAGTTTTGGATTTTCCATCCTAAGTTTGATGAGTTATTGGAAGAGGCTTGAGAAGTAATGTTACTGGTCATCCACTGATAAGGGTCAAACAGAAGTTGAAAACTTGAAGAATCTATTGAGGAAGCTAAATAGAGAGGAGTTTTCAGATTTATCTAAGAGAGTGAGGGAGATGGAGATGGAAGTTCAGGATATCCAACAACAGGCTCTAGCTGCTCCATCTGCAGATTTGTTTGAAACTGAAAAGAAGTTGGGAATGGAGCTGAGAGTTCTGTTAGCTGCAGAGGATTCGTTTTAAAAGCAAAAGTCAAGAGAAAGCTGGCTCAAAACCGGAGACATGAACTCTGCTTTCTTTAATCGAGTTGTTAGAGTTAAATAGAAGAGAAGTACTATAAGGGTTCTAAAAAATGAAGTTGGAGAGCAAGTATATGAGGTTGAAGAGATGGCTCAAGTTACAGTTAGATTCTACAAACGGTTATTGGGAGTAGAGGACTCTGAAGTTCTAGCTCGGCCTGATGAGTTCTTTGAAGCTTTGTTGAGAAGAAAACTCTCTGACGAGCAGACTGAGGGGATTTGTGAACCGTTTACTGATGAGCAGATCAAGAAGGTGATTTTTGCTATGGATGGAGACAAGAGTCCAGGCCCATATGTATTCTTTGCTGCTTTCTTTCATTATGCTTGGCCTCTCATAGGGCCTGAGGTATGTTCAGCTATTAAATTCTACTTTGAACATGATAGAGTTCCTAGGCCTATTAATGCAACAATTCTATCTCTGATTTCAAAAGTCCCAAACCCAGATGAGATGAAAAACTTTAGTCCAATCTCCTGTTGCAATATTCTATACAAGTGCATATCTAAGCTTATTGCTAACAGACTGAGTGCTCTCCTCCCTTTCCTGATAAGTAAAAACCAAACAGCTTTTGTTAAGGGCAGATTAATTGGAGAGAATATTTTGTTGACTAATGAGTTAGTTAGTAAATATTCTCATCAGAATGTTTCCCCCGGATGTGCTAAAAAAATAGATTTGATGAAGGCGTTTGATTCAGTTGACTGGAACTTCATTTTTCAAGTTCTCAAATGTATGAGGTTTCCAGAAAGATTTGTGAACTGGATTCGAATGTTTGTTGGGACCCCTATGCTTAGTGTCTGTTTCAACAGAGGGTTAGTAGGATATTTCCCAACTAAGAAGGGTTTTCGACAAGGAGATCCCCCATCTCCTTACCACTTTTCAATAGCAAAGGAAGTTTTTTCCTTTTTCATTGATGAGTCAGCTTCTGAGGGGTTTTTTCCCTATCATCCTATGTGTAAAGGGGTTCAGCTTACACACCTATGCTTCGCTGATGACCTGTTGGTCTTCTCATATGCAACAAATGCTGGTATTCAAGAATTGCAGCGTGTCCTAACTCAGTTTAAAATGGTTTCGGGCCTCAAGTCCAACCCTAGTAAATGTGAGATATTTTTTGGAGGTCTGGATACGGATGAAAGGAAAGTCAGAGCAGAGAGATTTGGATATCAGTTGGGAGAATTCCCTGTTCTCTATTTAGGGGTTCCCCTAATCGCTGGTAAGCTGAGTTTAACCGCTTGTAGACCACTTATTGAAAAAATTGTGGCTAGGGTGAGAAGCTGGCAGACAAAAACTCTTTCTTATGCAGGTCGAATTGAATTGGTTGGCACTTTTCTTTACAGTCTGACCCAATTCTGGATGCATGTTTTCCTTCTCCCTAAAGCTGTCACAAAGGAAGTGGAAAGAATCTGTAGCAACTTTATCTGGGGGGTTGAAGCTGGGGTCAAACTCAGAGCTAATGTGGCTTGGAAGCATCTTACCTTCCCTAAAAGGGAGGGAGATTTGGGATTCAGAGATCTATACAATTGGAACCAGGCTTGTATGACAAAGCACATATGGTTGATTTTATTGCAAGAAAGCTCCATCTAGGTAGCCTGGATTAACAGATACAAGCATAAAAGTAGAAATTTATGAACATAAACCTATTCATCTGGCTCTTGGAACTGGCATAAATTGTTAAAGCTTAGAAACAGATTTGCATCTTACATTACAGTAAGGAGGGATGTTCTTCTGTTTGACAACTCTCTTATGCCACGCTTTTCTATCAAGAGGGTTTGGCAGCTCCTTCGTCCTGCTAGGAGTAATGTAAGCTGGTGGAAGATTGCTTGGAAGGGCAGAGGTATCCCTAGGAATCGAGTTCTAACATGGTTGGTTATGAGAGACATCATCAATACTAAGGCTAAAATGCAGGAATGGGGGTTTTCAGGGGACCTGAAGTGTTGTCTTTGTGATGCAGGGGTGGAGGACAGGGACCATCTTTTTGTTCACTGCTCTGTTTCGAGGCAGCTTTCTATCTCCCTTCTTGGAAGGATGCTTTTCATCCCTAACTTGCAGACTTGGGAAGCTGAGGTTGATTGGATGAGTTCGAAGCTGAGTGCTACAACAGAAGCTGCTGAAACGGGGAGAATAATCTGGCAGAGTTGGGTGAGTCATGTCTAGCGAGAACGTTGTAGATGCATGTATGCTAGTAAAGCAAACCCTCTCCCTACCCTTCTGAAGATAATCAAATATGAAGTTGAGTGCTTCCTGGGTAGTTAGAGGCTAAGGCAGTTTTGGGTGGCTAGTTGATTTTTTGTCTCAGAGGCTGTATTAGTAGCTATTTTGTAGTTATTGTCTTCGGTATTTGGTTGGTTGTTAGGGCCACATTTTTTTATGAAATGAAACCCATCGATTCATAAAAATAAAAGAGATACTTAGTGGCTAGCCCATATACATATTAAAACTAACTATCATCTGCTTCACCAGGATGTTGGACTTAACTATATTTTTTGAAGTAACATTATAGTTCATCATCAAGAGCACAAAAACTACATTGTCAATTGTCATATCAAGAAAACATACTCACCTTGGAATGAGAGTGTAGTGTGGTTTGATCTATCACCTATGATATTGTTAGATCAACTTCACCTGGATAATGTAGTGGTTGCTACTGAATAATATAATCTTACAGGTTTCTATAAAATAGAAGATATGTCAATTGAGGGGAGAACATAGAGTCCTAACTTTGTGAGGACTAGCACCATACTAACTAATTTAATCAGCATTCATCACTTTAAAATTCAATCTGATGGTAGAGAATAATGAAGGGGTTATTGTGTATTAGATTTATCTAAATAAATTAAACAAAATTAAAATATGACTTGAGTTCGTGATGCGATGATATGACCGAGGGTTTTGCAGGCGGGTTTGTACCCTATCCGCTCCCTTAAAATATATATACTCTTTCTTCATTCATATCTTCTTAATATTGAGTTAGAGGCTAAGCTGGAACGCCATGTGAAATGAAAAACTGCAATTTGATACCCAATTTTAAATTTAGGGATGAAAAATGTAACGATTCAACTAAAAGTTGAGTTTCATAGTTTCGTTGCAACTTAACAATTTTAAGTGGTCATATATGGTATGTTGTACAATTAATCCCAGGAAATAGAACCATCTAACTTAGTAGCAGTTTTAGTGATTTATGGTAGCGTTTTTATAATGTTTCGTAGTTATTTAAATACCATTAGTAGTAATTTTAACGGTTTATAGTAGCAATTTTATGATTTTTAGTAGTGAATGACGATTGTTAGTAACGATTTCATGATTTTCAGTAGTGAGTTTACTATCATTTCTAACTTTTGAGTGGTGAACAATACTACTAAAACTAAAAAAACACTACTAATAGTCAACAAAATCGATGCCTTGGACAATTAAATCACTGCTAACCCATAACATAAACACTATTACATGATTACCACGAATCAAAGTCATCACTTGCCGCAATCGACAAGGGCAAATCGAAGAGAAGGAAAGGGGATGGCGGCGGCACACGATAACCCTATACAATTATAACTCACTACTACTAACCCATAAAAGAAACACTAGTACATTATTACTACGAATTAGTACTCGCGATATTGATTTGCTCCACGACGGCGCAGGCGGTGACACGGACGGGTGAAGTTTATGGCGGAGGCGACACAGACGAAGGAAAGGGAGGCGCCGCCAAGGCCGGTACAGACAATGTCGAAGCAGGCTGGCTGGATATGCTTACTTTTTCACATTGAGGCATTTTTTTTGCAATTAGACGAGCAGCAGAACAAAAAAGGCGACACTCCAATATTTCAGGGGGTTGTTGAGTTCCGACATCCTTCCAATCCCCAAATTACAAAGCCGATAAAACAAACGTGGATTTCTTGGCCGCGTCGGCGGCAGGCGGTCCCTTCAACATCGTCTCCAACTCCGAGACAAATCTCTCCATGGCCTCCGCCGGCAGGCAGATCGGCAGAACAATTCCTTTCTCCCCTTCCTTGTTCGTGAACGGTATGTAGAAGCTCGCCACTCCGGGAATCGCCCCGACCCCGCCCTTCGCCGGCCCGCCGTACGCCGCCTTGCCCCACCCGAAATCCACCGCGTCGAACCCGGCGCGCGTCACGTCCGACACCAGGTACGACCGCACCACCGTGAAGTGCCGCCGCCCCGTCACCGCCATCGTATCCGCCACCGACCTCATGTACTCCTCCGTGACGTCACTCTTCGCCTTCCTCACCAGATCCAGCGCGAACCCGAGCGGCTCCCGGCACAGGTCGCCGGCGGCCGCCACCGCCGCCGGGAACGCGAACGCGTTGCCGTAGTAGCCCCTCGGCAGCGGCGGCTCGAACTTGGCCCGCGCGTTGACGATGCAGATGATCCGCATCTCCTCCTCCGGGTCGGGTCGGAGGGCGGCGGTCCGGCACTTCCAGAGGCAGGCGGTCAGGATCTCGAAGCCGGAGCAGGAGTCGCGGAGGTGCGGCGGCGCGTGGCGGCGGAGCGCCTTCATCTCTCCCCGGCCGAAGAAGAAGGAGCGGTGGGCCATGTCGTCGAGCGGGATGATCGTGCCCTTGGTGTCGGCCACCTCCTCGTACTCCCGGTGCGTGCACGTCACGCGCGGCGGGGTGCGCGCGTTGAGGACGTGCCTCTCCCACACCGGGGCCACGGAGGGGGCGGTGGCGCCTCGAGCCATCTCGCCGACGGCGGACATGAACTGTACCAGACCCGGCGCGTCGCTCATGCAGTGGTGGAGGCGGAGGGCGAAGATGAAGCCGCCGCACTGAAGGCGCGTCACCTGTCATTATCACAGTACAAAAAATATTGTCCCCGGTGAATTAATTTAAACGACAACAAGGACCTGACCGGATAAGATGAAACGGCCCATCCCGAGAAAGCAGCCAAAGCCCAAAGGCAAACAAAAAGGAAGTTGTTGGTGTGGTATGTGGTGTGAATTGAATTGTGAAAGGTGAAAAAGGAAAACTCAGGTAAAGAAAAAAAGTAAGAAACAGACCGATCTAGACCTATCATCTTTCTTCTTTTTCTCATTGTTTATGCTTTATTCAGCACTACGAAGGGAAATAATTGACTGTTCACCAATCTTTATTTTGACTTTACCCTGCTTATCCAAGGCACACTTCCGTAGATTTTGTACTAGATTTTTTAATCATGGTTCACCTGTTTTCTATCGCAAAAACTATTTATCGTTTTGAGTTCATTATTTGGTTTTTCTCAATCTGATCAGTCGACACGATAGAATTTCTGAAATATTGAATTTTACTCATTCGGCTTCTATCAATCAATTCTACTGACAATAAAATCTTATCAAACCCTCTTTTAATATACTAGGAATTTATTTGAGGAATTTGGGATAAAATCTCTCACAAATCGCTCGTTTTAAAATTCTGGATCCAAACGACCCCATAGAAAATTATCCTACCATTTTATTCTAGCGATAAGAGTAGAATTGTTTAGCCGCTTTTTGTTTCAGTCACAAGTTGTGACATAATAACTTTTCTTCGGAAAATCAGTTAGCTAAATCGTTGTTATATAGTTGATAAAGTAGGCGATTTAGAATAATTACACAAACTGAATAAACAATTCAAGAAAAAGCCATAGCATGACTAGTGTTTCTCATTTTACCTGAATAAGCAAGAGCGGGGAGTGAAGGACAGCGTTGGAGCCGGGGACGTCGAAGAGAAGCTCGTCAAGGCCAGGAAACGGCGGCTGGAGCAGTTCGCCGAAGTCCGCAAGCCTGACCTCTGCGTCGGCCTCGATGAACAGCACGCCTTCCCCGGTACAGTCCACCACGAGCTTCCGGTTGGCGGCTTCCCTGAGGCGGCCGGCGAAGGGATAGTAAGGCACAAGCGCCTCCGCCAGCGCCTGCCGGATCACCGCCACGGGGTCTTTCCCGGCCGTGGAAGGCTGGCGCTGCTTGTAGAACTGAATGACAGGGATGTGGAACCGGAGCCCCTCCTGGTCGTCGATGTCGGAGAGGAGCTTGAACTCGTGGGGAGTGGGTTTGGCCGGTCGGACCAGCTCCGGTTGGCGCCGGTGGACGGTGAACTGCAAGGGCGGGGTTTGGGCCATTGGTTGGACCTTGGGGGTTTCTTGTTGTTGTTGGTGGTGGTTTATTTTTGTGTGTGTTTCTGGTGGTGTGACTTGTGAGGAGAAATGAGGATTATGTGACTGGGTATTTATAGAGGGGAATTAGGGTTTTTTTTTTTTTTAAAAAATTTTTGAAAAGGGAAATGTTAGTGGAAATGTTAAATGTGAATAAGTGGAGATTGCAGAGAAGTTGTGAGGGGAGTTTCTTAGCTGCTGCGACTAAGACTAATGACGCCCTCGCGACTTAGTGTTGACTTGGACTGGGAGAAAATTGAAGGTGGCACTAAACAAAAGTCTATTACCAATCGTTCATACTCGGTGGTGGTGGTGGTTAAGGAATCATTAAACAAACGACTATCTTCACTTGCAACAACCAAAGGTTGACTGTGATGTATAAGTTCTACTCATCCTCCAATATATGTGGGTTTTTCAGTGTTTTCATTAAAATGAGTGCATACGATGCATTCAGTTTTAAAAGTAGTTTTAAACATTGAATTTTCATTGGTAATAACTAGCTTTGAACCCGACCAGTTGGCCGGGATATGTTTTTTTTTATCATTTATTATAATATGCATATTTTTATATTCGTATCTATTGGAAATGCCAAAATAATTTATATATTGTTAAATATGTTTACAAAATAATTCTTATTTCTTGTATCTAATATTAATGCAGATTCATGAAAAGGTGATTAACTGTAGGCTAGACTAATTTATCAACCACATACTCAAGCATAGTTAATAATCTAGTTATAAAAAAAATAATAATCTGTAGTCACTTACGTATAGAATATATTCAACTCTTAGTCGAATTTTGACTCTTAACCAAATATATCACATATCCATATTAAAAATAACTCAACAGTTATTAAAACCATTAACCCACTAATGATGGTTGGATGCTCTAACGTTCTCACACTAAATCATTTCATCAAATTTTATTAGCATCCCACTAATGATGGTTGGATTCTCTAAGTCACACTTACATTGATAAATGGTTCTTGATCTATAAACAAACTTTCAATAATTAAAACCCTTAACCCGTATGCAATATAACCATAAAATTTGGGTGAATCTAATTGTATGTTTTTCTTAAGAAAAATCTAATTATATGTTTAGATTAAAAACAACTCTTGTATTCTGAATTATATGATCAATAATATATATATTAATCAATTATTCTTGTTATATAGAAAAAATTATCAATAAATAAGACCTTTAATTCTATTATTGTATGAAAATAACACCATTTAGTAGTTGATATAAAAATTGTGTCTTTTTAATAATATATTTTTAAAAATGTTGACTAATTAGTTTAAACTTTTACACTACGTGACCTAGAAAGTATAGTATAAGCATCTGATAATGAATTATTTTATAGACATAAAAAAACTGAAGGAATTATTGAACGGCCTGAAAAAATTAAGCATCATTATATATGAAGAAAATACAAAACCTGAACGGAAAGAAAATAAAAGGATAAATATGGCACAATGAAAAATTGGAAGGAATATGGGGGAGGGGGGGGAATAGGTTAGGGTGGTTACTCAATTTTGAGTAATCACGGTGGCTACCAACATCTATACCATTCATTATCTTTATTTTATTATATTTTTAAATTAACGATTAAGATTAGCTAAGGGTAATTTAGGAAATGAAAAACATACCACACCTGATTACTGTATATATTATACTCAAACCCTAATACAACCTATCTACCTAGCCGCCGTTTCTCCCTTCTCCCACCCCGTCGGCTTCACTCCGCCGGCCATATTCTCAAAAACCCAAACAAGCAGACCCACAAGCTGGTTCCTCTTTTCCCTGCTTGCAAAGTTTCCGCCATTGAAAGGGACCAAAGGGAAGGAAAAATGCAGATCCGGTCTGCAGATCCGTCGTCGGCCGGTACTCGAACTCTCGCCGGACCGAGCTGATGTTCGCGTGGGTGAACGGCACGTCACCGTTCCCGGGCATCTCCACCACCTTCTTCTTCGCCTTCACCTTCAGATGCCTCTCCAGTATGCTCACCAGCGTCGGCACCGTCACCGGCGACGTGTTCCCGAGGTTGAAGATCCGGTACGGCTGTGGCTGGAAAAGGTAAGATGAATAAAAACCCTAGATCTAATTTTTTCGCATTGGTAGTGATTTTTCCGCAGTGGTAGTGTTTTTTTCTCGCATTGGTAGTGATTTTTTCGTAGTGGTAGTGTTTTTTTCCGCATTGGTATTGTTTTTTCCGCATTGGTAGTAATTTTTTCGTAATGGTAGTGTTGTTTCGCATTGGTATTCTTTTTTCCGCATTGGTATTGATTATCATGTAAGTGTATTGCTTTTTAGTGGTATTGGTTGACTCTTGTAATGGTATAAAGTGTTTGTATTGGTAGTTTTAGTTTATTGGTATTGATTTATTTATGCAATGGTATTGTTTTGATTTCACAGTAGTAGTGATATTGGTTGTTTTAGTATTTATTTGACTTTTGTAATGGTATAGATTGTTTATATTGGTAGTTTTCGTATAATGGTATAGATTCTTTTTCTGCAATGGTATTGATGTTTTTTAAAATGGTAGTGATTGTCTAATGGATTGGTAGTGATTTCGTGTTTTTTCTTTTGCAGAAAGATTGAGAAAAATATGGAAAGGAAATCTGGCTGGAGATTACGGATTGAGAGAAAGAGATTGAATTGTAATTAATAGATTTTTGTAACTACCTAAAATGTAATTTATTAAAATTAATTAATTAATATAATTTATTTTGTCATACCCAATTTACCCTTAGTAACCACGGTGATTACTACAAAATAGTAATCACCGTAACCGCTCCCGGGGGGGAAGGAGGAAGGAAAGGTATATCTAACCGTAGAAACAACCAAACTGAAGGAAAATTAAAAAAAAAAAAAAAATAGGACGGAAGCGAGAAACGCGGGGAGAACTTGAAAGCCTACGTGGCATGAGGCTTTTTCTGAAAACGCTTTAATATATTTTAAGATTAAGATATGATATGATGGTATAATATAGTATCACAGTTAATCAATTCATTACCCTAACCTCTAAACTTTCAAATTTGAACACTAATCCCAAACCCCAATTGTAAAGCTTGAATCAGTAATCTCTAAAGCCTTCAAATCAAAGTAAATCTTGAATGATTTTTTTGTGCAAATTCATGTGTTTACTTGTTTATCATATCACAGTTAGAAATTGACGTCGTTTATAAATGAATCTTCTCCTTAGAATAGCGAATATGAGACGAGTGCATTAAATGTATCCAAAAAAGTGAGTGCAGTGAAGAAAAAACCATGACCATAGCTATGGGTAAACATGGAGGATCAGGTGAGTAGGTGACTGGGGGGAGAGGGGTGCTTAGTCACTTGACTAAGCCCCTTCTAGCAATTGATCTTAGACAAACCAATCTAACGGTTAAAATATGAGAAAAAAGTTTTTAATAAGTGACAGGGGTAATTTGGGTATTATGAAAAATTATGAACTATACAAACCGGTCTTACAAACAATACAAACTAGAAGCCATACAAACCGGGCTTACAAACAATACAAAATATACAAACTAGATTGATAAACAATACAAACCATAAAAAATCGAGAATCAACCAGGTTGATTTTGGAGACTCTGCCCCTAAATAGAGGAGATTGTCCATAGTCAATCAGGTTTTTTTTTTAAACATATAAACATTACAAACATGGTGGACACAATAGACTAACAAACAATACAAAATGGAAATCAACCAGGTTGACTTTGGATGCCTCGTCCCTATATAGAGGAGTTCCATCCAAAGTTAACCCTGTTGTTTTTTTAGACATACAAACATTACAAACATTATGGAAAAAAATGACAAACATGGTGGAAAAAAATGACAAACCATACAAACAATGCAAAACATACAAACTAGATTTACAAACCATACAGACTATATAAATTAGATTTACAACAAATACAAACCACACAAAATGGATTTACAAACAATACAAATTATACAAAAGGGAAAAATAACCAGGTTGACTTTGAAGGCTTTGTCCCTATATAGAGGAGTTCCGTCCAAAAGTCAACCAAGTTATTTTTTAAACAGTACAAACATGGTAGAAAAAATACAAAATAAACTGAAAACATGACAAAGCATACTAACCGTACAAAATACTACTAGCTAAAAATACAAATATGTATACTTGTATTACAAATTAATAAATAAAAAGTATACAAATTAGAAAACAAAAAAATTAGAAATTATCATATATACTAATTAGTAATATAAACATTACAAACATAATGGACAAAACTGAAAAACTAGAATAATAAACGATACAAACCGAATTGATATAAACATTACCAACAAGACTTACACACATTACAAAATAGACTAACAAACATCACAAAGACGTCGCAACCGTCCGGAAATCCTCTCCATCGCTGGAAAATCCTTGACGGTGCCCTCTCTCTCTCTTTTTCCACGCAAGCAAGCAAACAAGAGGAAGCCAATGCTCTGGCCAGTGGGAAAAAGAACTCTCTCTCTCTCTAAATTACACGTAGGGGAACCAGGGGAAAGTTTCTCCATTAAATTAACCAGCGGGGAAATTTATTCCCAGCACCGGCTGGAGGGAAAACTCACTCTCTCAGCGCAAGCAAGCAAACAAGAGGAAGCCAATCCTCTCGCCAGTGGGTAAAAGAAGTCTCTCTCTCTCTCTCTCAATTGCACGATTGCACGGTGGGGGACCTGGGAAAAGTTTCCCCATAAAATTGATTGGCGGGGAATTTTATTCCCAGCACCGGCGGGATGGGAATTCAATTGCACGCCGCAACCCAGGTGGTCCCACTTTTTATTTGTTAAATAAATAATTTATGTAATTACTACTCTACCCTTCATTAAATGAGTATAATTAGAACCATTAGTTCAAACTTACGTGAATGGTTGATATTGACTTAGTCATGTGAATAAGAAACACTTCTTAGTCACCTGATCTTATCCCTATGGGTAAAACCCACAAAAAGTTTTATGTGTATGAGATGGGTATGGTTTTACCCTCTCAGCCCCGCCCCACTATACGCATTTCTTTACATATAAAAAAAAATGTGGATAAAATTATAACCTATTAATGATAGTGAAGGTCTCAAGAAAATTATAACCCATTAATGTAATATA